ATAAAGGTTTGCTTAAGAAATATACTTTAAGATATTTATTATTTTCTTTATATAGTCTAGAATAAATATTTTTTCCTTGACTATAAGAAATTAGTTTCTTTTTTAGTTAAATATTTTGAGATTAATAGTTAGTTCAATTTTTTTCTAATAGAATTAAGAAATAAGAAAGAATAATAAATGTTTATTACTTTTTAAAGAGATTATATATTTAAGCTTGTCAAGATAATTTTATTTTTGTAGGCTAATACTTTAGAAGTTGTAAAATATAAAGTCAATATTTTAATTATAACTGAATTATAAAAGATAATCTAAAGTATATATGTGATGAAATTGAATTTAGTTATTTTTCAAAAATTGTATTACTATTAAAAACATAAAATTAATTGGAAATTGTATTTAATTGAGAATTTTATTGCCATATATGATAAAGATTAACAATATAACTACATATATAATTCTGAGTAATGGAGTTAGATTTTTCTTTTGATCTAATTTTTTGTTTCCTTCTAAAGGTTTAGTAAGTTTAAATTAGTAACACGTAAAGTAATTTTGAATAGGAGTTTATTATATTTTATTGTTTTATTATAGTTGATAAGATTTATAAAATCAAAGTTTTAGAAATATCAAAAGATATTATTAAATTTTTTTATTGAGATTACTTGCAGTATTGATATTTAAAGTAATAATAACAATTGATTTAGTAATGCTTTGGATTTTGAAATTAGCAAAATTAAAGTTTAAAAGAACTTTGTATTTTAGAATATTGTTAATAAATCCTTTGTTAATTATTTTTGTAAAAAATTTTTTGCTTGTTTTGATAAGAAAAATTGGATATATATAAAACTTCAAAAATTACTGAGCTGATATCAAACTAATATCAAAATGATACTAATCTATAGTAAATTTAATATATGAATTGTAACCTACTTATATGAATTTATAATAAATTCAAGTATTAAACTGATATCAAAATGGTTTCTAAGGGTTAATAAAATCTCTTTTATATCTTGGATAAAGACTGTTATAATAAATTATTAAAAATATTGTCAGAAATGTAAATCAGTGATTTATAATTTGTATTTTATTTATTATTAATGGAGAATGATTTTGATATGGAAATTTTTTAAATAATTAGATATAGTTTTTATAAGTTTATAAAATTGTTATGAATCTAATTGTTTTTTTTTTAAAAGAATTAAAAAATCAAGAAAAAGTTTTAAATCTTTTAATGCTTTTTTGAAAATATTTTTTAATCTGATTCAAAATCTATACTAATCAAATCCTACTTCTTTTTATATTATATGGATAATAATTTTATTTAGCTTAGGTATTTTTTTCTGAATTAGGATTTTTAAAAGTTTTTTCAAATCTTTTATGCAAAAATAATTGCTAATAATGATCTGCAAGACTGATAAGGCTTTCCTTTTGTTATTGTTTTTTAGTAGATTAATTGTTTTCTTTATAGCTCTTATTATGCTAATGTAATATTGAAAGAATCTAAATTTCAGATAAATATCATACTTTTTTTTTGAAATATTATTATTAATAAAGTTTTTAATAATATTTTTTATTAAGTTTCAGATTGAAATGTTACAAGCTTGATATGCAAGTTCAATGTTCTCTTGAAAATCTTTGATATTTTCCTGAGTGGCATCTTTAACTTAATAAATATTTATATTAAAACAGATTCTATTTGATTTATATTCAAATTAGTTGAGTATAGTAATTACCTACTTGTAGTCTGAGATTATAGTTGTTTGTTTATGAACTTTGTATAAGAGTATCTTTCTTGCTAGATTACTAGTGATCCAAATTTGATCAATTCTAGAAACACTTCTGCTTGTAATATATATATACTGATGCTTATTGCTTGTTATTTTGCCTATGTCAATAAACTTGTAATAAATGTATCTCTTGTATATTAATATTTAAGTATTTATATAAGAAGCAAAAGTGAAATATATATTAAAACTATTTGTGAAAATAAAATATTTACTGGAATGCTTTTTGATAAAGTTCTTTAAAGTTTTTATTATTTTTTTCCTGAGATTATAGTTATGCAAAAAATAATATGAAGTAATTATGATATCTATTTTGAATTTTAATTTAAAATAAATAGTACTTCAAAGCTTATTGAGAATAAATATTTCAAAGATAATATTAATAATGTTTCTGGTCAAAAGTATAGCTATATCACTGCTGGTAGAGTTATTGGACAAGTTTGTGATAATAGTGATGTTATTTAGGGTTGTAAATAGTAGTCTTGATTTTGTAATTTTTGTATTAGAGCAACAGAGAATATATCTTTCAATTGTTATGAACTTGATAAGTTCAAATAATTTTGCCTTGTTATTAAATTCTCTAAAGTTAAGGGTGGATACTATGATAAGGTTTTTGAAAAGAGAAGGTATATTTAATTTAATTATGAGAGAAAATATCTGTTCTATTTTGTTATTCAAAGAATAGATAAGTATTAACAGAAGAATCAGCTCAAACTCTGAAAACTCTGGATCATGATAAAGTCAGCAGGAAGTTTTTCAAAGTAGAAGTATTTGTTTAAAGCTTTAATATTATTATTAAGATAAGAATTGTCAATAAATAGAAAGAAAAGTTTTGAGCTGGTATTATGGAGGTATTGGATGGTCAGAATCCAATATTGTTGGTAGAAGTTTAAATAAAGAAGTAAAAGTACAGTTACCCACAGACACTTCTGATAGCCTTTTACTTAAGCGAATTGAAAAGGCAAAGAAACTTTATAAACTTTTTGGTGCAATATGTATGGATAAAATTTATTGCATTCATTCCTTTTCTGCTGACAGTATATCTAAATTAACAAAAAAGGAATTTAGTATATTATAGATAATGTATCCTTTGATTAAAGCATTAATGTGAGCCTGTCTCTGGCTGAGTTATGGGATGATGAGAAAAGTTCTATATTGACGCTTGTAACCCAACTTTGCACGAAGTAATCGGCAAAATTCTTGTGAGAAGGAAAATAAAAATTCAGAAATATCTGTTTCCTCTATACCATTGTAAAATACATCTAATTCGGAAGATACTATAAGTGAGGTTACAAATCTTTACTGGAGGAAGAGGTAAGGATATCTACTGGATCAATTTCAAAGGATAAACCAGAAACTGTAAATGATGATTATAATATAAGTGAGAAAGTCGAATCTTTACTGGAGGAAGAGGTAGGCGAATCTGATGATTCTTTAGATTATAACTCGGAATCCTCTGATGATAATGGGTTCTGAGTTTTTCAGATGACGATGATGAAGGTTATTATTACAATTTAAATACCGGCGAAACTTATAGAAATTAGATCGTTCAATCTGCGCATATTAAGACATTAGCGACGCGACGCCATACTAAATAAAGAAGAGTGATTGATCAATTTTTCGTGCATCCCAATTTCTCTGATTCAGTATTTCCCATCATTCTAGTTTCTCTCGTTATAATGAATAAACTACATAGTAGTTATTTTCATTTGAGACCGCCCGGTCCGCGATAAACAAATTCCCTTTATCATTCTTATAATATTGATGCAGTACTTTTTTTCCTATATATCCCCTATATGAATGCAAAGCAATTCTATGAAAACAGGTGAGTCTCGGTTGAGACGCGTTAAAATTTTTCATGTGAAAAAATGAGATAATCATGTGATGGTAAAGCATGATCCGAATTAAAATTAATTGAGTCAATCATAAATCAATAGATTTCTCATTTTTTTTCGTAGAAGCTATGTCGTTTAACGTTGCAGGTTCTTCCACTAGTGTTCCTGTTATTCCTTCATCTGATCTTCCGACGGTCGAGGAAGTGAGAGAATTTAATGCCAAAGAACTTAGTGGCTTTTTGAAAAGGAGGCTAAACGACATCGATAATCACATAGACACCTTAACAGCTCAAGAACTCAAGGGCTCAACTTTTCTTAAATTAACACGAGATGATCTTTTGAGTATTCAAGTACCTCTTGGACCAGCAAAAGAAATCGTTGAGTTGATTAATGACATTCAAGGAGGTAAGTAAATTTATTCTCGCCCAAACGTGTCAACATTCGCCAATAATACTGAATATTTACTTATTCTTGTGCTTTTCTTTCTTGCTTCTTATCGTCAAACCCGCCCCCAAAACACATTTGCGCTATCTTAGATCAACCCGTCACTAGTGGTGAGTCGTAATAAATTCCTTGTCAACGCGTCCTGGCTTGAATTTTTTTTCCACAAAAATTTCGAATGTTCCAAATCTAGCGTTGCGGTATATTTATTAAATATTGATTTATACATCTTTCCTTCCTACTGCGCTTTGTAGAGTATCCTATAAAGAAACGTCTAATAGAACAGTGGAAGTCATACACCGCCTCTGATAGTCACTCCGTAGAATTGCCATCCGTAATAATTGACATGCTTGAAAGTAACGAATTCGTACCTGATTTGCGTATGAATTTTAAAACTGCCTTCCAGAACCTTCATGTTGGTCAATCAATTACCCTACCACATCTTGACCAGGAACCTAAACACTTCGCTAAAGGTTATCAAGGAAGGACATTGCTTGTTACTGGGCAGATGATTGACATATGGGACATGCTTTCAGCAGATAGCGACCATTCAATCAAGCGTGTTCTCTCAGGCCCAATGGGTGTGGGCAAATCATATATTTCCTACTTCCTTGCATCTAAAGCTTATGCTGAAGAATGGCCGGTGCTCTACATCGCAGATGCGTCTGAACTTAATGTAGAATCAACAGAGATAGCAGCAGCGGTGATTTGCAGATACTTCCTGACACTTAATAAAGATATTTTGACTGCCGCCGAGCTTAAGAAAATTGTGCGATTTGCTAGTAATCGTAATCTTCAACAAGTAATGATTACCGTCGCTGAAGAAATTCTAGACCTAATCAAATTAGCAAATCGCAAAACTCTATTAATTGTTGACGAACATGGTATATTATTTGAAAAAGAACCGGTACCTTTAAGAATTCACCTCTTAAATCCTCTGATGAATCTTAATTTTTGGGGAGAACATTACAAATTTGCACGTGTAATCTTTACGGGGACTGCACATGCTAGATATGAGAAGGAAATCATGAAAAATGATCAATATGAATTTTGGGTGATCTATGTTGGTCCACTACAGAGCAATGTATTTGATATTTTGTTACAGTTGCACCCCGTTCTGAGGATACAAGGCATCAAAGAAGAAGCAAAAAAGATCACGAATTGTGTGCCACGTGTACTCATGTATCTAGTTGAATATATCAAACAACTCAATATCACTATTACCGATGTAAATTGCTTTCAACAAGTATTAAAAAATTTTGAGAATGAACGGGTTGACAATATTCTGCTTATTGCTCAAAATTATTATAATGATCTCCCGAAAACTGAAAAAACTCGCCACTATGATGCTCTCACAAGCATGTTTCTTCCCAGCAAATCCGTTGTGGAGTTTGAACGGAATTTCTTAGATCTTGGGCTAATTTATCGGTACAAGGAAGGGATTACTCATTACCTCCCTCTATGCCCATCTGCTCAGAAAGCCTTATTAAAAATGTACATGTCACTTGATCTACCTGAAAATATAAAAAATCAACTCCGTGTAGGAAGACTAACTGGAGAGCAATTTGAGAAAGCCTTATTCAGTCAACTTGTATGCAAATGTAACACAACAATAAAACTCAATGCAACGGATCTCAATAATAATAATAGAAATGTTATTACACTTCAGTTTAACGACTATGATTTGATTAAAAATTCTCAATTATCCCTTGGACCTGGTAACGATAAAGTCTTAGGTCGTGGCTTTAATAGGTACCCCCGATTTGATTATATGCTCGGACCTATATTCATACAGGTATCTGTCAGTGACTTCGTAACATACAACAGCAAACCATCAACGAACATCAGGAAAGCATTTGAAACAATGTCTGCACTAGCTGGTATCTCTTTAGAGCAAATTAACGGAAGAAATCAGATCGAGATGTATTTGGATGAGATGTATGGTCCTGGTCATTCTGCTGTAATAGATTCACAAAATAAGTTTGTTGTTACCAGAAATGGCAAGCGCGTGCCTGGATTTCATATTGTCTATATTCGAGGTAGTCCCGGCGCTCCTAATCACTCTGGAAAAGTTCGTGAATTTCCTGACGTAGCGCATGTTACCTTTGAGGAGATCAGAACTCAGCTTTTCACAAATATAATATAATGTACTGTATATCCTTAGTTATGTGTGAAGAGGGAATTTTATTCTTGATTAAATGTATTAGTTTACCAGTGCTGTACAAATATTAATAAATGTCACTCACATCGGGTTTATCTTTTTCTTAACATGTGAATGCTGTATATGTGCAGAAATTTGGCTGAGTAAAAGATAATTCACTACTTTTACTTCCATATTTTTATACATTTTAGTTGGGACGGTTTTACATTCTGAAAAATAAGGTGACATCGATTATCAATGTCTTCTCGTGGTTCTCCCTAATTACATAATACTCGATCACAATGATTTTATATTACTTAATCGTTTTCACAATCCTCCCCTCATTACTTAATTCTCTAACACGCTATTCTACTACCATTATAACCATTTACTATTACTTTCGCTTACACTTTCACATCATACCACCTTAATTACCATGATCGGAACGGGTCCTTCACGGCACTATTGCGACTATTAGTCACGTGACTGGCGTCGTGTCACGATTTTTACACTCTGACACTATCATCAGAAGTGTATCGAAAAGCAACTGTTGGAAAGGGGAGTGAGTTGTCCGAATAAGGAGTGTAAATACAAACCTTTCTCTCTTCGGAACTTCTTATAAATAAGGTAAGGAGGTGGAATTACAATAGTCTACAAAACAGTCCGCGGATGAAACGAATACCGCTACTACAGGATTGACCAATATTGCTACCACTACTATCATAATGGCTAAACAAGTAGACTAAAATAAAACTCCCGAGGATGAAATTGATGATCCTTTATAATCAGAAAGACATACATAAGCCCAACTGTCGGGTTCTACCAAAGTTTCTCTTGACCAAAATCCCGATACCAGCAGTAAAAAGCGGACCAATGAAGCTACGGGTTCTTTATATAGCAGGAAATCCAAGGAATGTGTTCGACCAGAAGATTTCTAAAATAAAGAAATTGAAAGGACTCTATAGAGAGTCCGCATGGGAAGTTGAAGATTATCAACTTTTTTTGGATGGTATCTAAAAATTTCCGATGCTTAAGAGCGGAGAAAAAACGCATGTCATGAACTGAACTGATTATGACATATTTACACTTTGGTGAAGAGTTAGAGAAGCATCTTTCTCACTATGTGGTGAGGCCACAATGAAGGTATTATCTAATATAATCAGTATTTACAGTAGAATAGAGATTAAAATAACAGAAAAAATTTTTATGACAAAATTAATGAAAATTTACTGTTGCATATAATTTTGGTATTTTTTCGAAAAAAGAAGAGCAAAAATTATCGTCTTATTACAGTATAAGGTGTTACAGTATTTTACATCAGATTGTTCCCAAAATTGGTAACAATACCATTATTCTAAAATTAGAAAATAAACTTATTCTTGGTTATTCATTTAGATTTAGTTTATATAAAAAACATATCTGAAAATTTCTAAAAGAAGAATATAAAACTGCTATGGATATATACAGATCCTTAATATATATATATATATCTTATATATTAATATTAATCCATTTTGAAAAATCTTTTAAAAATAAATTTAAAGCATTCACATGATGTATAAAATCTTTTTTAAGTAAAAAATATAAAGTCTGATTTTAAGTTATAAAATATGTAGAACTTAAACTATAGAAGATTGAGATATAATAAATTGATAAATAAAATTTCAATTTTTAAAAGCTGAAAAACATAAATAATCCATATAGGATTTTACAATTAAATTTAGTAAAAAAACAATAATATATAGAGACATTTTACTTATTATATAAAATATTTATCAAAAACTAAAGAAAATTTTAATAACAAGCTCTACAAACAAATTTTTAAAAAAAAATTAATAAATTTATTAAGATATTTTAATTTAACTTCTAAAAATATTATATTTTAATATAATAATAATCTTAGGCAAAAATAATTAAAAAATAATTAAAAACCAATAAATAAAAACCATTTTTAGATCATTTCAATTTTTAAATTTAAATTCAATAAAAATATTTAAAGATAATGTTAAAAAAAAATTGATAATCTAAAAATTAATATAAAAAATAAAGAAATTTTTTAAAATAGTTTATTAAAGATTTGAAATAAAACATTTAAAAAAACTTATAAAAAGAATTAATATTATTATCAAAGCAAAAAATAGTTACAATATATAATAATATTATTATTATTTATTTATATATTATATATTTTTAAAAAATATAAAAAATAATACAACAATATATAATTTCAACTCTTTCTGCTAATTCTTTTGCCAACTCAAAAAACAGATATTTTTAAATAATATTTAAATATTTTCTTTAATAATACAAGTTTTTGAAAGCAAATCTTTTTTACTTGTTTATTTTTTCTTTTTCAAAATTCTTTAAATATTATTATATTTAATTTTTACTCAAGATCTTTACTACTTCTTGTTTGTTTTTTACTAACATTTATCCTTGAAATGTTAACTGTTCTAGAATAGTTTTGTATTATGGATTTGTTACTGTACTTTCAGCATCTATTGTATTTATTGTATTTTTATCATTTCTAGAATATTTCTATTTTATTTTATTTTTACTTTCTATATTATCTTTGCCAAAGTATTTATTTATATAAATGCTAACACAGTTGAATATTTTGAAGAAAATAGTATTTATATCTTAGTTTAAATTTTTATTATAACATATATTTATCATATATGAAAATATTATAATTTAACATATGGGTAATTATTTTTGAAGGTGACAAAAATGCTAGATATGATTTTTTCTGATCCAACTTTTAACAATACATATATAATATAAATTGTAGAATCACACCAGAAAATTTCTGATTCACCTTCTAAAATAATTATCCATATATATAAAGTCTCTAATTTTATTTAGAAATTAATAGGCTTAAACTTATATTTTATTGAATAAATATCTTGACCTTTACAAACAAATCACCATTACCTCTTTTATCTGATCTCATACATCTCAGAACTGTATTAATTTATATACCTTTAGAAACTTTAGCATATTATATTGCTCCTGTTCATCTAAAGTACTGTATATCCTTGCTACTAGTTCTTTATCTTTATTTTTCTCCTAAGATAAAAACAATATATAACAATGTTTAAGTGACAAAATATTTAAAACTTATCTATTTGATCTATAGCAAGAATACTTTATTGAAAAAAAATCTTGTTAAAAAATATTCTCCTTTATTTTCTTATAAGATCTGTAATTCTAAAAATATTCATTAGTAAATATATTTTTCAAGCTTTATAAAAACTTTAAATTTATTATAAGTAAATATTTTTTGCTTGAAAATAAGTAAACAAGTTAATATTCTGATATATAAACATAAACATATCCCTTAAATTGTAACATAGGCAAATTTGCCTACATATTTAAAATTTTATTAAGTTTTTAAAAAATTTTAATAAAATTTTAAATATTAATTTTTATAACTTATTTATATTATAAGAAATATAGTTTA